AAAAAAAACTAATAACATCACCCAGAGAGAGAGAGAGAGAGAGAGAGAGAGAGAGAGAGAGAGAATCACATTATTATCCCTATTAAATTTTTTTTTGTTGAAATTGTCAAACGATTTTTGATTTTTTTTCTTTTGAAACTTAAGATGTTCCAGAAAAAAATTTGATCCAAAAAATCATTATTTTTTACGGAAATTTTCCCAAAATTTTTTTTATGAAAAGTTTTTTTATTAAAAAAAACTTTCCGGGAGAAAAAAAAGAGAAAACTTTTTCATTATTGCCGATGATGATGAAGATCACCGTCATCATTATTTGTTTATTCCAACTTTTTTTGTTCCATGATTGACAATTTTCGAGAAAAGTTTTTTGGAAATTTTTAATTTCTGAAAAAATTTTCATAAATTTGTTTCAAACAAATAAAAAAAACGACCCAGACAATCAAATTCAAATCCAATTCTGATTGTGAATTGAATTATAGATTTTTCGTTCCTTCTTTCCTCCTTTCGGTTCATTCAATTCACATTTGAGAAAAGCAACCAAGACAAGAAAACCAGATTCATTTACGAATGAATAGAGACAAGACGAAGCAAAGAAGATTGGCTCCAAAATTGATAAATAAAATTGGACAGTCCGTTTTTTTTCCTTCGGTTCGGTTCATTCAGTTCAGTTCAGTTCGGTTGTTTGGTTGTTTTTTTTTTCTTGCAAACAAAACGATTCTACGAAACTAAATCTATATATGGAAATGGCTGTAACATCATTCATTCATTTCATTTCATTCATAGATTTGGATCTCTTCTTTCTTTAACGAGATTTTCTCTTTCTTTTTTTTTCTTCTGTCTGTCTGCCCTGTCTATCTCTCTATTTTGTTTTTTGTTTGTTTGTTTGCATCTTTACAGATAATGTATTTTTTTTCTGGGAAGAAAATAAAGATAAGATAAGGAAGAAGAAGAGAACCGAGAATATAGACCCAGAGAGTTTAGTTGGGGAAGAATTCCCCCATTGGAAAACACAAGAAGGAAGATTCCCAAATTGATTGATTTACTTCAATTGAAAAACTAAAGCAAAAGAGAGAGAAACTATTCTCTCTCTGTAATTCTGTAATTCTCTTTTGTAGTTTTGTTTTTTTTTCTTCTTTTGAATTTCGTTTTATTCAATACATTTCAATTCTATCTATCTATCTATGTTTAACTCATTCAATTCTATAAATATTCTGTAAATATTCTTGTCAATGTTTCGTTGTTATTCTTTCCATCGTCGTCGTCGTTTTCGTTTTTTTTGTTTTGCTTTTTGTTTCATCAATGTGTTCATCAGCAAAATATACGATTCTATTACGATAAATAGATGGATAGATTGATTGAGAGAGAGAGAAAGAAAGAGAGAGAGAGAGCCCGAATGAATGAATGGATAACCCGAATTTTTTTTTTTTGTGTGTGTTTGGTCCCAGAATATTCTCTCTGTGTTAAACTCATTATTCATTAGTTTTTTCTTCCTTCTCCCATTCATTTATTCTATGAAGCCATTGTGTGTTTTCAATGAAAATTTTTCCTTCTTTTTCTTTTTTTGTTGTTGGCTGCATTGTTTTCCTTTGGTTTTCCCTATATATTCTCTTTTGCATGTCAAATTGTCAAATTCGTTGAGGTTCATTTCATTTCATCCAACAACAAGTTTGTTTTTCGATATTTTTTCATCGAAAATAATCGAATAATGATAATGATGATGATAAAAGGTTGACTGAATTGGTTTAACACGTTCGTTACCAGCTATATAGATTTTTTTTTGTTTGCTCCCATTGTTTATCCTGATAAATTTTAACCCTTTTCACATCTGTTTTAGTAATGAATTTGACATCATTGTTATTATTCATTATTAATATTCAAGTTTGTCAACAGCCAAGAATATTCTTGCTTGTTTGCTTTATTCTGTTAGTTCATTGATGATTAATTGATTCTTTTTTCATTCAAATTATTTTCAGGAAAGCTCAAAAAAAATGATAAAATGAATGTTCAACAACAACAGAATCAGCAAAATCAACAAATTTATTCAACAAATAATAATGTCAATGGTGTCCAACGTGTTAATAATATTGATACATTAAATCAAAACAAATCAAAAGGTGTTAGTTTTCTTGAATATGTTGAAGTTTCAACCAATAATAATAATGATCAACATTTAACCAATATGAATGATTGTAATAATACGGATATTGTTAATGTTGGTGATGGACGACCACTATCGATTAATTCGATACCTCGAACAATCGATACTATATCAACACCACCAGCAACAACCGCTTCATCTTCATCAATTTATCTTCGTACAAATGGTCTATTTCATTATGAACCATTACATCCACCAGCTACCACCACCGCTATTGGTCAACCACCACCACCACCCCCATCATCATCATCACCATTTGAATCAACAACAACAACATCAACGGAAAATAGTTGTAATTCACCATTATCACCACCATTAGTGTCTTTGATTGATGGTCAACAACATCAACCAAATATTATCTATAAACCAGTACGATCATTAATACAATATTGGCCTGAAAATCATCAACCCCACCACCACCAACATCAACAACAATCATCTTCGTTGATATTATCACCGACAAACAGTCCATTACATCCATTACAATTAAATCAACAACAACAATCATCGTTTTTACAATCAATCGATCCAATGACAACAACAACAACAATGTTTATGGAAAATTTAATTAGTAAATCATCATCAAGTGATAGTGATACAAATGATAGTGTACAACGTTTAATAAGTGATTCATCATTAAATGATTTTATTAGTGCCTCATTCGTTGCCGCAAACGCAAGTGCGACAAACTCAATGACAAACGCAACATCTTCATCATCTTCAGCATCTGCCGCATCTACTACAAATCATGTATATCTTTCATCACAATCAATGATGAATGGTAATAATCGATTAATACAATCGAATACAATCGATACTATCGTTGAGCAAGAATCGGAAACAGTATTATCATCATCCGCAGCAACAGCAACGGCTACAATGAATAAAAATAACGATAGTAATAGTCCCGGTGAAGAATTATGGATACAAATTCAAGGTGATTTATCAAAAAATTTACGTGAAAAATTTCTACAAAATCAATCAAATTGTCCGATGGAAACATCGACGACAATTAGTAAATCCTCATCAACAACAACATCAGCGAAAACTGATTCAAAAAATCGAAAAAATCGAAAAAATTTTCAATTTCGAAGAATCGGTTACGGTCAGTTTGGTTTTAATTGTCCGTTAAGTTATCGTATGAAAAAGATTTTAATTTTATCATCCATAATAACAATGTTTGTTGTTGTTTTTATTATGACCGTTGCCTTATTAATTTATTCAAATGAACAAAACGAATGGTCACAATGGTCGTTATGGCCACAATGGTTATCCGGTATAAATTATCAACAACAACAACAACAACAAAATTCATATCAATTTCATCAATCGTCACGTCGTTATCATTTTGATGATGATGATGATTATGATTGGTATGATAATAGTGCAACAATTTATGAAATATTTCCAGCATCATTTCGTGATAGTAATGGTGATGGTTATGGTGATTTTAATGGTATTACGGAACGTGTTGATTATTTACGTTCATTAAACATACAAGCTATACGTTTAAATTCAATATTTGCTGCATTTGATTATCCAAAATATTTGGATAATGTTTTAAATTTTTATGATGTTGATCCACATTTAGGAAATTTTCAATCATTTAATAATATGGTAAGTGTACACAATGATGATAAAGTGAGAAACTTTCCGTAAAGATAGTGGTAATGATGATGATCATCATTCATTCGACCGACCGAAAACGACGGCGATGATGATGATCGTGATGAGAATTTTAAATTATTTTTTTGCTTTTTCGTTTATTTAAATTCAAAACTTGAAAAACTTTCTCGGAAATTTTCTCAATTTTTTTGTTTAAATTTTTCTCTTTTTTTCTCGTTGAAAAAAACCAAAAGATTCAAATTTTACATTCAAATCAAATACGTGTGATATTGGATCTAAATCCAACAATAACATCGGATGAACATCCATGGTCAATGAATCAAACTACTGAATATGAAAATTATTATTATTTTAAACGACAACAACAGCGATCATCAACGACAACAACAAAAGCGTTAAATTCATTTTCAACTAATTTAAGGGTAAGATTTGTTTTTTGGAAGAAATTTTCCGGAAATTTTATTTCTGGAAAATTTTCGATTAAATCATTTTGTCATTGACAATGATTTGTATAGAGAAAATGATTATTTTCAAAAATGAAATTGAAATTCAATTTGTTGGAAAATTTCCTGGGTTTCTTTTGCTATTTGCCGAAACAAAAAACGAAAAATTTAATGTAAATCGATTCCGATCAGATCAGGAATATTAGATGTTGTTTCTTTGCTGAATTTATTCAAATTCAAATTCGGGTAAATATCGATAGTAGTAATAATATCGATAGTATCGGTAGTGGTGGTAGTAATAGCGTTTTGGGAAAAAAAACCCTTCGGGCTGAGAGAATCAATTTTTTTCGAAAACAAATTGAATCGATTTTCGCAAGTTTATCGAAAAAAGAAAAACGAATTTAAATATCGATTTGATTGACATATTTTGCCCAGGAAAGAAAAGAAAAGAAAAGAAAAGAAAGAAAAGTGAAAGCGAGAAAAAAATGGTAATCGATGACAAAAAAAAAGAAAAGAAAAAGATTGATGATTTTCGGGAAATTTCCCTGAAATTTAATTTAAATTTTTCTTGTTTCTCGTTTCGAAAATAGCAAACGAAAAATCCTGATTACGCTTCTGATTACGCTGATGGTGATTACATCGATGATGATAATTTGAATGGTGATTTTGTTCATCAACGACATCCAAGCCATGATTCTGTGATCAATCATCCTGATGATCATTTTGTTGTTGATGATGATGATGAAGAACCACCGGGAGGACGATGGTTAAATTGGAGCAATGAAGCTATACCGAAACAAATGCTGAAAATTGCCGATTTTTGGCTGCGTTATGTTGATGGAATTTATCTGAAAAATTTAGACAGAATTCACATCAACGATGATGATTCTGGTGGTGATAATCCCAGTGGTGATAACATCGGGTTAATAAAACGTGAAAAAATTTTATTAGAATTTTTACAACGTTTGCGACGGATATCCGATGGATATCAACAACAACAACAACAGCAAAAATCAACGAAAAAAATATTGATCTGTTCAAGTCATTTATTATCACCATTATTGACGGCAAATCGTCGTGTTGCTGCAGCTGCAGCTGCGGCTGCAAAGCGTCGACGTCAAACATCATCGTCGTTTCAACAAAATCATCCACCACTACCTCGTCCTCATCCAAATCATCAAAATGAATTTCGTCCCGAATTCGATGAATTAGATATGAATGATTTTTTCGACAATCCAATAACCGACGATGATCAAAATGATGACAACAAAAATATCGATAGTGATAGTGATAGTGAACAACAATCGATATCATCCGGTTATCGAAAAATTCATGCATCGGCCAATTCGCAAAAAATGTTACCATCATCAGATAGTACATCTACATCATCATTATCAACATCTATTGTAAACCATGGACATCATAATCAATCATTATCGATTAGATCGATATATCATTATTTTGATTTAGTACATTTTGAATTGATTATTCGTCCAAATCATATAGATACTATAAGAGATCAAGTAAATTTTGTATTCTTAAATCGACCAGCGGATTTTCCAACAATAATGTGGAGTTTAGGTGGAAATAGTGGTCATCGTCATCAAAGAAGAAGACGACCACTATATCGACAATTACGTTTAGCAAATCGTATTGGTAGTTCAAATTATTCATTAGCATGTTTATTTATGTTAACAATGATGCCTGGTACTATTATGATATTTTATGGTGATGAAATTGGTTTGACAAATTTGTATAATCAGAATCAACAGAATCATCATCATTATCATTACCGACATAATGTAAGTAATCAATTTTTTTCAAGAAATATTTACCGAAAAATAACCAGATAATCAGTATGTGATGAATGAATGTTTCCCAGAAACTTTCTCATCGATTTTAAACAAAAAAAAAACATTTGAAAAAATTCAAATTTTCCACTGTTATCAGAATATTCAACTATTTCTACCGCCAAAAAAAAAATCGAATCGAAATATTAATCAAAGAATCGGTCTATTTCGACTTTGGTGGTGCATGTTTAATTTTCATTATTATTCCTTGTTTGTCTCGTTTTGTTTTGCTTGTTTGTTTAATTTTTCTGAAAAGAAAAATGATCATAATTAATTTTAATTACATTCGACAACAAGCATAGCTTTCTATATTCGGCTCATTTCGCCGAAAGTTGATTGGGGAACCAACCAAAAAAGAAAACAAAAAAAAAACTTTTCGGGCAAACTTGAAATCGATTGAAAATGATAATCATCGACGACTATAACGACGACGACTACGATGGATCTATTTTGAATGAAAATAACCAGAAGAATAAAAAACATTCAGAAAAATCGATTTGTTTTTTGTTTCTCATTTCCCATGTTTTCTTTTTCTTGTTTGTTTATCATATTGATTGACTTTTTTTTTGTTTTTGTTTGTTTTCTCTCTCTCCATCTCTCTCTCGATTATCTAATCGTTTTCCTTAAGTTATTTTTCCCGAAATACTTTATATATGAATGACTTATGGGGGAAAATCATTCATAAACAACGAATCTTTTTTTTCTTCGATTCGATTTTTTAACATCATCATCAGAATTTTGTTTTTGTTTTTTTTCTGGTCGGGAAAAAACATCATTTGAAAGCAAGAATCATAATCAGCATCTTTTTTGTTCAAAAATTATTGTTTTTTTTTTGTTTTGTTGTTGTTGTTTGTAACAATGATTATTATATTTAAAGTAAATTGAATCTCTCTCTCTCTCTCTCTCTCTCTCTCTCTCTCTCTCTCTCTCTCT